GCATTTTGGAACCTGTGAAGTCCTACAGCAACTTTATATCAGCAACTTAGTGGGCCTGCTGGGGCGTACGTGCTGTGGAAGAACCTAGCAGAGGTAAATTCTCTCTCAATCCCCAAGTGCCACATCACTCCCAGAAAATGACTCACTCTCCCCAGTGCAGGTTGTTAACCGGGGTGGTCAGCAGAGAGGGGAGCAGCTCTGGGGACAGTGGCCTAAGACGTGGGGTCCTTTGCCTTCTTACCTGAGGCTCTGAGGCTCGGTGTCTTCATCTCAAATTTTAAAAATGACAGAAGGCCCCGCAGTTGAGTGGGAGGAATGTGGAGTGCTTGGCATGCCTTGAGGCAAACCCCCAGAGCAGCTACTCAGAAGAGCTGACCTCGTTGCACTGGCTTCTGGTCCCGTGCAGACTCGAGTCCACCCGCCATCTCCTTGGGGGCTACAGAGAGGACTGCTCATGCCCAGGCTGCCCCAGAAACCACACCCCACCCTGGGAACGCAGTGCAGGGGAGACACATCCAGACAAACAACCATAAAGTTGACTGCATTTGCAGGCACAGTCCTTGAAAAGGCATAATTATATGGGACTTAATGACTTCCCTTTCCCATTGTGAAACAAAAATGGTAATCGTCCAAATTTGCATTGTTGGCCAAGGAAAGTACTGGAAGAGGGCTCTTTCCTCTGGACCTGGCCAACTGCTCATGCTGCTACCCTGGGATTTCAAGCTATGGAGGAGCTCTGCCCAGCGGGAAAGCCAGCCCGGAGCTGTCTCCCCTTCTTCTGGCTGACAACGGCCGCCTGCTGAACTGTTCTTGGCGGGGGGTCGCCACCCCAACTGCTTGACTAGGCCTCTTTCCTAATGTCGCCTTGGCCAGCTGCTGTCAGACTGAAATGTCACAGGTGAGCTAGTACATAGCAATGGCTTTGAGCAGGAGGAAGGCCACGTCTCTAGTTCTACCTCAGAGCAGTGTTGAGGCTGGAACAGTCATCTTTTGTATTAATTTACACATTTAGCCACTAACCCGGTAATCGAAAGGTGCCCTCACTACCACAAAGCGTTACCCAAATACAAACTGGTATTTTGATTGCTGGAGCAGCCTATTGGAGTTGGACAGAAGAGTTTTGTCTACCAGATTTCTCAATCTCTTTTCCCTTCCCAAAGTGGGTGCGTTTAGAGAACGCAAGGGTGTGAGCTTGTTTTTAACTGCAGGGACTTCAAATCACTTTATTTTTAGTATTTCACAATCGTCCTTGAAATAGACACCTGGGGGTGTCCTCCAACCAGGGCTGGGAATCATGGTTTTAACCACTTGGAAAGTAGCATAACTAGGGCTGGGTCCAGGTGGACTTGAAAATCTTGTTTGAATTTGTGTTCATCACTCCCTCTGTAGGCTAACCACGTTGTCACTCTGGTGTTGTTTTTTGCTTTGGGCACCTGAGTGAGGCAGGGGTGGGGAGGAATAAAGGGACACTGGAGGTTTGATATGCATAATCCCCCCTTCAGTCAGGGTCACTGTGGACAGGGTTTTTTCCTAGTCCATTGTCAGCTTGACAAGGAGGACCCTGCTTTCTCCTTTCCCTTTGAGCCACCCAGAGGTACCCATGGGCCCCGTGCTTCTTTCTTTATTTATTTTAACCCTCAGAACTGTGATTGCCCAACTCCGCAGGGAAAAAAGCCTGAATTCCCCAGCGCAGCCATGGTGAGTGATCAACCAATAAAACGTCCAGGATCCAGGAACAAGGAACATAATCTGGATATACCCGGGTCTCATGTCAGCATTACTTCTTTTTACCTTTCTCTCTCAGAAAAAAAAAAAAAAAATCTCTTTATTGATTTCAAGTAGAGGTCACCCTGGGCACCGCTTGGTCAGTCTTCCTTGCTGCGGGTTTTCCCTCTTGGTGCTGCCCAACTTGCCGGGGCAGTTCTGTAAGGGACAAGGCTCGGGCTCCCCAGCCTCGGTCCCTCGATGGTGGGTGATGGTGGGAAGCAAGGAGCCCATGTCTCTCCAGAGCCTCTCTGGCTGTGTGCATTCACGGAGTCCAGTTCTGGCTGAAAGAGCTTCCTGAATCCGGTGTCTGGGCTTCTGGCCACACCCTGGTACCCACTCTGTGCTGGGTCCAAGGCAGTGGGGCAGAGATGCTCCCCCAACTCTCCTCCCTGCTTATTTTTTTCTCCACAAAGCGCTTTTCATCATTTGCAACAATGTTTCCACTATGGAAGGAGGTTTCCCCAATGTTCATCTGTGTCCAGAAGTGCCCTTCAACAGGTAAAATGGGGTGCACATGAAAGGCAAACTTGCCAACAATTCAATTTGAATAAAAGAGTAACTGTGTGAGATGGTGGATAATAGCGAAACTTATTGTGGGGATCGTTTCACAATATGTACAAATATCAAATCATGGTGTTGCACACCCAAAATGAATGCAATGTTATAAGTCAGTCATATCTCATTAAAACTGGGAAAAAAACACCTTAACTAAACTTGAAGTTTCTTCATAAGGTCCTCCATTCTCCTGCAGATTTCAGGAAAAGCATTTCTGGAGCTCCTCCTGGCTTCTCCTCTCTGTTCCACAGTCTCTGACCCAGCTGGCATGGGAGCCAGCCTTGTGAGGACACCTGTGGCAGCTGCCTGTGGCCAGTTGTCCCCTGTGTGTCCATCTCTGCAGGCCACACAGAGCATCAGGGTGACTCTGTCTCTACGATTTCTATGACTAGGGCGCCTCTCTTCCCACCCCACTTCCGTTCCTTTGTGCTGAGACTTCACTCATCAGAGGTTCCTACACCGTTGTGTTTGGCTGAGCTTTAGGACTGGGCTGGTTGTAGTTCGGTTTAGCTCCAGCTGCTATAAATACGCCCCTTAGCATGTGCAACTTGTTCCTTCTTCCACGGGCAGCTGTCCCTGGCAGGGCTCTCAGCTATCTCTCTGAGACAGTGCAATTCCAGATGACTGCTGCTAGGACTATCAAGCTTCAAATGTTGACACAGATCTGCCTGTCAGGGGGTCTGGAGAAGCAGGGAGTCTCCGGAGAAGGAGGCACTGGCTTTTCTAGTGTCTTTTTTTCCTGAGTAAAGACATAGTCATTTCCTGCCCTTGGCTTCCCTTGAGCCAGCAAGATGGCTGCCCCGAATCCCTTCAAATAAAGGAGCAAGATGAAAACCAAACCTTCAGGTAATTTTCCACCTGCCTCCCGTGAAAACGCCAGCTCATCCTTTAAAACAAAAGTACTTGACAATGCTAGAAGTCCTCTATTTAAGGATCACAAAGGCTAAATAATAAATTCTTCAAAATTAAATTAATTCTTAAATTAATTAAATTCTTAAATTCTTAAATAAATAATTCTTCAAAAATAAATTCTTTTTATTTTCATCAAAGCAATATGTATACTTGGCTTCAAAACATGAAAATTTTGGAACAGTTCCATGTCGTGTAAACCTGCCTTGCCAGGCTGTTTACACCTTGACGGTGCGTGAGGTGGCTTCTGCCTGTCACCTGGGCCCTTCCGTACCTTTGATTTGGAACTGAGCGAGTGGGGAAAGAGGGAGGGCACGGGGATGCATTTTGCCAGGGAGGCTGTGGCGAAGAGGCTCAACCTGCCCCTCACAGCTGGAGCCATGGGCATCGGGGTGGTGGCCCCTGCGCGTGGTAGAGGCCGTGGCTCCCTCTGTGGCCGCTTCAGCAGTTTGGCTCTGCCAGCCACAGCAGAAACACAGTCTCAAGTCTCTGTCTTCAGTCTTCCCATGGTTCTTGGAGCCTCAGCTATTCCTTAATAAACTGCTTGCTCTCTTCTTGAGAAAAAATGCTCCAGTGGGTTCTGCTGTCTCGACCAAGGACCCCGACAGTAATGGATTACCGGCTTACAGTGAAAGCCAGCAGCCCTTCCCCATGTTAGCTGATGCTTCTGATATATGTTAACTTCGGATCCAATGTTTTGACAGGATTTCGTGCATTTAACACAACCACCTATTCCTTTTTTCCCTTTCATTCTCATTAACAGTCTATTTTTTAGACTCATATATTTCATTCTCATTAACAGTCTATTTTATACTAAATAGGTAGATGTTTACCGTTGCGTTAAGCAGTGCACTGTATGTTTCCTTTCTCGTATAACTTTTATTACCTAATTGTTTTTCTGTTGCTTAGTTGTCTAAGAAAAAAAAGGAAAGAAAAAAGAGAGAGAGAGATCTACTTTTCTGATTTCCAGTGTCCCAACAGATCCAAAAATGCCTACCCAGGACGAGGATGTTTGTGCAGTTTGCGCAAGATGTCACAAAGAACAGTTGGCAAAAGCTGCAATCAGAACAGATTTTCAGCATTCCGAAGGGGCTTGCCATCCTTTTTGTATTCATATTTATAAAGTTCACCCCAAAAAGTCATGAGCTGAGTAAGCATACACATGAGACAAAATCTAACTAAGTTAATACCAGACTCTTAATGTCCATTGATTTACAAGGGCAATTTAAGCTATTCTCAAAAATTTGTATAAGAATTCTAAAGGCTGATGACATAGAGGAATGTGGTTTTGCTGAGCCTCCATTTCTTTAATTTTCTTTTAGGCTTCAAATCTCTATTTTTATTGATTGATTGACTTTTATATTTTATCGCTTCTTAAAAATTACCAAGGTAATAAACTGGCACTGGATCAAAGCCAAATAAAACATGAGCAAATAAAGTAAATAATGTGTCTTCTTAACTCACCACTGCCACCACCAACCTTCCCCACAAAAGACTGTGCTCCCTCCGAGATCTTCCCGGGTGGTTAGATGCATGGTAGGTGGTCATCTGGCCAGAAGGCGGGAGAGCACGCTTTGATGTGAGGAAGAACTGAGTTCAAAGTCTGGCTTTGCTATCCTGTAGCTGAGTGACCTTGGGCGAGCTCCTTGGGCTCAGAGCTCTGGCCGTCCCACCTCCAGCACGTGGATGATTGTGATGTCTACCTCGTGGCGTCTCCTGAGTGCATCTTGCCACATCATAAACCCAGAACTTTGGGACTCCCAGAAACCCTGCCTTGCTGGCCAGCCAGCAGCCGAACTCAGCATGTCTTCTCATTCCAACTCTCTCATGAAGGGATTATAACTTTGAGTTTGTGTAGGTATTATACTTAAATTTATTTGAAAAAGATGAGGAGCTTTATAGAAAATAGCCCTAAAAAAAGCCAAATGTTGTGTGTCAGTAGTGGAAGTTCAAAAAAAATTTTTAAGAAGGTGATGGTTCTTAACCAGGAAAAGAAAAATTTTGAGTAAACGAAGGAGTAGAGTTTTAGCTACGGTGTTGCCTTGGTGCAAGGATGGGCACACTCTGCTCTATAAACAGAAAAATAAACACAGACGGCAGTTTGTGGAACTCTTCTCAGCAAAGGCTCTAAGTAGTACAAAAATTGCACATGTGAGAAATATTACTGAAAATTAGAACTCTAATTAACTTGCAGGGTGAGGAGAGACACAGAAACCATGTGGAACCAGATGGAAATATGCATAGCCAGGAATCGCAACAAACACTTCCTTAGCCAAAACTTGTATAGATTATCAAAGTCTCCAAAAATATCCTTCAAAGATCCTTTTCTCATGACTGAGGAAATTGCCAGAGAAATAGGAAATCCTTCAGGAGTTGGACCACTGGTGGTGCAGAGGTCCGGAAGGAGTGAGGACAGCTGACTCAAGGGTCAGGACCGCTGCCCAGTGCCACAGAGGAAAGAATCTGAGGTGTAGCTCCAAATGTGAAAACGCCCGGCCCCAAACTGGCTTCAGTGCCTGCCGCTCAGCCCTTCCTCAGCCTCCCCATATGTCCTACCTCAAGGGACCAGAGCCTGTGTCTTCGGCCTTTTTTTGTGCTTCTTCTCGGGAAAGGACATGACAAACCCATTTGCACTCGTGTATGACAAGTCTGTCACCTGCTCTCCAACAAAGCCTACATTGTAGTCTTAATTACAAAGGTCTACAGAAGTCCAGATTTTTTGTGTCAGCCTTTCCAATTTTTATTTATTAGCAACCAACGAATTTATGTTAAAATCCGTGTCCACAGACAGCCTTTGGCTGACAGGACACAGGGGGAAGGCGGCGCACAGATGGAAAATTGGAGTGATAAGTCTGGAAACCAAGGAAGATGGCCGGCAATCTGCCAGAAGTCAGAGAAAGGCAAGGAAGGATTCCTCCCTACAGTTTCAGAAGATTTCTAGCTTCCATCTTCTAGAACTGTGAGACAGTAAATTTGTGGTACCTCATTACAGCAGTCCTAGCAAACCAACATAGATTCTGGTATTTCATGTCCTCCGAAGCGCAATGTTCGATAGACAACACTAAGACCCAGGGGGCATCTTTGCACAGCATGTTGGTGACCACCAGCTGGTAAGATGGCCCTATTCACATGGCCTTTCATTGAAAAGGAGCACGGGGGGGTGCCTGGGTGCCTCAGTCGTTAAGCATCTGCCTTTGACTTGGGTCATGATCCCAGGGTCCTAGGATTGAGCCCCGCATCCGTCTCCTGCTCTGCAGGAAGCCTGCTTCTCCCTCTCCTGCTCCCCCTCTTGTGTTCCCTCTTTCGCTGTGTCTCTCTCTGTCAAATAAATAAAATCTCTAAAAAAGAGAAAGAAAGGGAGCACAGGACCACGTCAAAGCAATTTCTCCCTGAGCTGGATCCAGGGAGACTCATCTTAAAAGGACGGGACAAATTTGGTGAGAGCCCAAGTCAAAGGACTTGGAGCCAGAGCGGTTTCTCAGAGCTGCTGTGAATCAGGCCGAACCATTCCTCAGTGTAGACACAGAAGATATTTGTGCAGACATGTGAGTCTCTTGCTGAGGAGGGAATAAGGCCACCCAGGGGAGCCGTATGGGACCGTGACAAGGTCTAGGCAAAGCAAGAGACTGTAGGAGAACATGGGCTAAGGCAGGAACCAGGAGAGCAGATACTACTCTGAAAGCGGGATGCAGGACAGAGTGCTCAAGAGAGAAGGTGTAGCAAAGCAAGCATGTTGGGGTCTTGGTCCTTTTGGGTTCTGATCTTGTGGCCCAGGGATGGAGGGCTGGTTTAAAGAAAGAGGACCAGGCCAGATGGTAAGAGAAATGGGCCTCTTGTCTCCTCTGCAGAGCTAACGAGGATTCTCCCTGTGTCCTTCACAGGCAAAGACGCCAGATAAAATACAGAACACTCAGTTAAAGCTGAACTTTAGATTCACATGGAATGATTTTCAGTGTAAGTATGCAGATATTGCGTGGGACATACTTAGGCTGAAGATATGTTCATTATTTATCTGGAATTTTGACTTAACTGGTATCTTGTATTTCTATTTTGCCAAATCTGGTAACCTATCCCAGACAACAAAGAAAGTACTTCCTGTGGCATCACAAGTCTCATCGATACTCAATAAATATTCACATCCAGGAGAAAAAAAATCCACAGGGCTCCCGAGAAAAGCAGGGCTCTTTGAACAGGCAGAAACATGGTAAGTTATGTTCCTCTTCCTGCCTCCAGCAGCTTGAAGGTCACGGTGCTGACAGCCCTTTAGAAGCTCAACCCAAACAGTCCTTTCTTTCCAAACCGATTCCTAGTCAGTTGCAGGAGATTTCAACGTCTTTTATGACTACTAACCGAAGACACCATTTTGAACGTAGCTTGCGAAGCCAGGAACGTGGTTTGGGTCCCGGCCCAGTGCAGTTTTTCCCAGAGCTATTATAAGGAAGTAGTCATGAAACTAAATGAATCTATGGTTGAAAACTGCAGTGCTGACCCAAAATATTTCTAATGTGTGGAACTAGCTGGCAGGCTGAGAGCCTGAGAGAACAAAAGGGGCTGTTCGCTGCTTTGAAATGCCCAGATCCTCAGAGTATGGCTTTGCTTCATGCTATTAGCTGGTTTCCAACGGGCCGAGGGCCAAGTTAGGCACTTCTCATGGCGGGGCGGTGGGGGTGGTGGGGATGTTGGCAGACACAGGGCTTGGCCTTGACAGCTTCATTTGGAGGACGAGAAGGGGTGAACTGTCAGAAGGAGGCATGGAATGAGAAGGCGCGGCCTGGCCTGGCCTGGGTGGGGTGCTTCGAAACTTCCCGGCCCTGGCCACACTCCCTCGCCGGCCACTCCTTGCAACAAACCTGTGACGTCCACTTGTTTTCTCCATTTTCCAGGTGGGGAAAGTGAGGTTTCCGAAGTTATCTGGTGGGGTAGACGTTAAGCTCAGCTGTTTTCAACTTATACTTCTTTTTTAAAAATTTTATTTTATTTTATTTTATTTATTTGACACAGAGAGAGAGATCACAACCAGGCAGAGAGAGGGGGGAGGAAGCAAGCTCCCTGCTGAGAAGAGAGCCCGATGTGGGGCTCCATCCCAGGACCCTGGAATCATGACCTGAGCCGAAGGCAGAGGCTTAACCAACTGAGCCATCCAGGTGCCCCTACACTTCTTTTTTTTTTTGTATAGATAATACATTCATGTGGTTCAAAATCCAAAATATGCTTGGGGATGGAGTGAAAAGTCTGTCTTCCCAGGTCCCAGGCTCCCAGCTCCCCTCCAAGGAGGTGGCTGGTACTGTCCATTTCTTATATGGCCTCCTAGAGGCTTTTATGAATATGTCTTTTGCTTTTCTTTTTTTAGACAGATGGTAGTTTACTGTATACACTATTCTGCTTTTCTGACTGAAATCAAGCTCTTTCAGTCCCCATCTATTGATCTTGCTTGCTAAAAATAATTTCCCGTTATAAAATACACTACATTTAATAAACTGAAGCTAAATGGAAAGAATACAATACCGACTCTTGTCCTACTTCCCAGAGGCCACTGCTGCTAGTGGTCTGGTACCTTAGTCCAGGCTTTCCCATAGCTGTTGGACCATGGCAGTCACCTCTTTGGACAGATTTAGGGGCAGGAAGACAATGGGAAGAAGAAACAGGAGCACATAACTCTTCCAGAGTGTGTGGGAGCTGTGGGGGCCAGGAGACGTCAGTCCAGAGAGGAAGTGAACACTTACTCTTCCCTTTGAGGAAACTTTTTCCGTTTTGAGTTCCAAGTACCTGCTGTGTGGGAACACAGATCCTATAATAAAACAGAGAGTTGGGGGGAAATAAATCAACAGACTATTTCAACACTGTATGGTAAGAGCTAAAACAACAGGAAGCCTGGGGAACTAAAGAAGCCAGAGGATAGGATGGGTGTCAGAGCCAGCTCCCCAGGAGGTAACACCTGAGCCGAACCTTGACCCACCACCTGTAGGGTCAGGCCAGGTGAAGAGCGAAAGGGGCATTCTCAACGGAGAAAGGGATTGCAGAATTAGAGATTGCGACAGGAATGGCAAGAGACAGGAAGGGACAGGTGTGGAATATGAAAGGAATTTTGGCTTCATCTTGAGGGTAACATGAAGCTCTCGAAAGTCTCAAAACAGGAAACTGACAAAATTGGATTTGTGCTCTGACAGAGGCCAAGTCTGGCTGCTGGTAGGGAGTCACTCAGGAGCAGCCACAAAAGCGGGGAGTCTGGAGAATGGAAAACCAGTTAGGGCACCGTGGCACACACCCAGGTAAGAGAAGATGGTGGCATGAACAAGGACTGTGGTGACCCTAAGAATGGAGAGACTTGATGCCAGAGGCTATGGATGTAGATTCAGTGACTGACTGGGGATTAAATGGCCCACAGACTGAGATTTGGGCATTCCTTTCTCTCTTTCTTTCTCTCTCCCTTTCTTTCTTTCTTTCTTTCTTTTTTTTTTTAATATTTTAATTATTTATTTGAGAGAGAGAGAAAGAGGGGTAACACCAGCAGGGGAAGGGAGAGGGAGAAGCAGACTCCTTGCTGAGTAAGGAGCCCAGTGGCGGGCTCAATCCCAGGACCCCAGGACCCCAGGATCATGACCTGAGCCGAAGGCAGATGCTTAACTGACTGACCCACACAGGCACCCCAAGACTTAGACATTTCTTGACTCAAAATTTTGCTCTGGCTCAACATTTTTATACAAAAATATTTAGACTTCTGAGCTTGGCATGCAGATCCTCAGTACATCATTTCAACCTTCCTTTCTAATTCTTTCTCTGTCACTCTCTCAACTTATACCCGAACTGTAGCAGAATGATGGCTCCATCCCAGGCTCCTGGGATCATGACCTGAGCTGAAGGCAGATACTTAATGGACTGAGCCACCCAGGTGCTCCCAAAGTTAAAAGCTTCTTGAAGGCAGGGACCACAACCCTCTTGGAAGCTCAAGGAATGTCTGTTCAATTGAAGTGAACACTCACTGGGAAAGTTCAGAGTGAAGACTTGCAAAGTAAAGGAGAATCATTCAGGTGCAGGGGATCCATTTGGGTAAATAGAGTCAAACGTATAAGAAGGCCCAGACACAGGCAGAAGAGGCAAGAGCATAGCTAATGTGAAGGCCTCGACCTCAGGCCCCGGACAGAGGTTGATGGCCTGGTTTCAGGTTCCCTCATTCCGTCAAGAAGCAGAAACTCACAAATGTTAGTAGACTCTGAATAGGACCAGGGGACAAGGTCTTTGGGAGGGGGTTGGAGTCAGACCCCAGCCCCGTGGTTTCATGAAACGTTTCATGAAACGCTCTTCTGTCATTCCATACCCTGCCATCCCCTTCTCAGAATAAGAACATGTTTTTTTCTTTTACTTCCCTTGAGACCTTACTGTCAACTTCTATGACTTAGGGGAGCCTTCAGGGACCACAGACCAGACTGCCACGGCCAGGTTCTCCCATAACTCAGCCTCAAAGCATCTCTTCTAGTTCATCATTTCTTTTTAAAAATCAGGGTGGAGGTTGTGGGAGAGGAAGTGTCCTGAGGACATTCCTGGCTTGAGCAAGACGCAATGCTTTGGATGCCGCCTTATGTGCGGGTCCTCAGAGGCCAATGTGTAAGTTCTCCACAGACTGCACCTTCTGACTGAAAAAATAAAGGACCAAACAGGAGAAAAAAGAAGTTCCACAAGATTGTCTCTAAAATCCAAGAGGAGAAGGCAGGTTCGGGAGCCCCATTCTTAAGACTAAGTGCATTCTAGATAAGAAGTCTCATCGGTTCCAGGAACTCCACCTCTGGAGGTCTAAGGAACCATAGTCCAGCTAGAGAATTCTGGAACCTTCCATACGTGCTACGTGGCCACCTCCAGAGGATCCCTGGCTGGAACCCCTCACTCTATGTGTGCTGTGCTGGGCTGTGAGAAGAATAGGAGAGGAAAGGAGGGGAGTGGTTAATAGAAAACTTGAGAGAAAGAAGCAAAGCGCAGGAAGGGTCTTCAGTGCAGTTTGGAGTTGCTCAGTAGTGGAGAAAAGGAAGCAAGACCACTGAGAGAACGACCAGTTCTTTAGTTTCTCATTTATTCACCTACTCAAGCACTAAGTGAGGGACAGGCATCAGAGGGCATGCAGACACCACTGGAGCTTCCTGTCAGCTGTGTGGGAAAGGAGAAACCCCCAGAGCTATAAGACAAACCCCGTCCCAAAGGTGGGAAAGTCCATGTCAGGATTTCCAGTCAAGAGCTTTTTAACTCGGGTGGAAGAGATCAGAGATGATAACGTCATGGTTGAGCTTTGAAGAAGGAGCAAACTTTTGATCTGAAGAGGCTGGGAGGACAATATGAAGAGATCGGAAGGAAGCCGTAGCAACCACCTACAAAAGAGGTTACAGCATTAAAGCTGGAAGAGTAGAAAGGAGGGGACACAGAGTTTGTTTGGGAAAACTTCAGCCTTTTCTAAACCAAGACATCCAAGCAAGACTCAAGAGATGGGTGCTGCCTGTGGTAGAACTTGAGGAGACAGTGACAGTGGACCCCAAGGGTCAGAGGATAGGGATTTTGTAGCATCTGATACACTGCAGGGGTGTCTTGTAAGCAGCACATCGCACCTGTCCAGTGGGGGCGGCTCAGGGGTTGGGAAACAACCAGAGACCTTCGGACTCTCTTCTCCGCTCCTGGGGTTTTCCACGCAGGCGAGATCCTCCCTCATTCTGTTCCCTCTCAGACTTGGAGACGGGACAGGGCAGAGTTGAAACACACCTGAACCCCCAGCCCTGTGAAACCTGCCCCTGGACTTAGTCCACAGCCACACCTCCCCAACGCCGTGTGAATACCCAGCCAGGTTGGCCCAGAGATTTTAGTTTAGCTGCTCAATGCTTCACAGCTTGTAGGAAGTAGAAGTCAGTTTCAAACTCAAGCTAGACTCTGATGACCTAGTTGATAGTCTTTCCACATATCCTTCATCTTCTGATCAGACCAGGAGAGGCAAACAGGGGGAGCGGAAGGACAGCAACCCTGCCCTTGCTCAATTCTAGGGTCTGCCAACGCGCCGGTCACCTTATGCAAATTACTCACCAGTCCTGAACCTTAGTTCAAGCACTTGCAGAAAAGGGATAATGACAGCCACCTCAAAAGGTTGTTTTGAGGACACCTGTGTGGCTCAGTGGGTTAAGGC